TCTGAGTTCTGTTTACAAGGCTGCAGGCCTGGCTGAAATACTCGGGCATCAATGAAGGTCATCTGTCAACTTAGAGTAGTGCCTACAAATTACTCTGTGCGGCTATAAACGACCGTTAAATGGAATGATGAATTTTTGAAGGATTTCGAAAACGGAAAAAATTGATAGTCTTGCCGGCCCAGCATCATCAACGTTGAAAAATGCCCCGGCACATAGTGGTTAAAGGCCATTTACCCATGTGACAAACATGTAGTTTAATTGCAAGAGGCAAGTTTTCAAAAGTGACAAGAGTTCTGCTGGGTGGAAAAACTGTACCTTTATCGAGTCGCTGACAGTAGCACATTTCTGAAGAAGTTGAAGGTAAGTCAGGTCCAAACTGTCTGAATCATAGAGAGATGGGAGAGCCTTGTACTTGTCAGTAGCAGAAGGGGGAATAAATTCTTGGGCATATGCATCTATGACACAATGAACAACTGGCTGAGCTGATACTTGCTGGAGAGATGCATGGAATACGGCCAGTTCATGTGATGTAGGGGGTGCTATAGCAGCTTCTGTCTGAGGTTTCTTGCAGGTACTTGAAGGCTTTCTAAAATTGATGTGTTTCACTTCTGCAGCACATACCTGTAATTGAAAAAAAAGAGAATACTCAATAATTGGGCACATTATGCAAGAAATAACAGCTGGATAAGGGCTTCTACATTGGAAGGTTATGAGAAACAGTTTCAGGTTGTGATTATCGTTGCCTAAACCAGCCATTTTTCCATATTAAATGAATACTTTCCTCATCTTTTTCTTATATTTCTTTTTGCTGGTAGCCATGCACACTTCTGAGAAGTACAGGCATCTGATCCTCGAACTGATTGGCTTTTACAACACTTGATATTAATGCAGCAACATGGCTACAGGCTTCTCCCAATCTGCAAGGGTAGTAGATAACAATTGATAAAGACAAACATTGAATATCAGAATGGTCAGTTTGCCTAACAGACATATCACTCAGACAACCAGGGTCATTTATCAGTCATACTCATGAATATTTTTCACTTTACAGACGACCTGCCAATTAGGAAAATATTTTTCCGCTAAGTGACATCAACATGTATCTTACTCGGCCATGCATGTACAGTGTGCAGCTATAATTTCTCCACACTTCTCAGCAGCAAACCATGGAATCAGAGGGGTTGCTGTCATTCTCTGGCTGTGTTTCACCCTGCCAATCACCACATATATGGTCTTCCCGGACCCAGATTGGTATGTGTGAAGTCGTATATCGTGGACCCATCCAGCCTTGACCAAACAATCTGATCCTGTCATGGATTTCCATACCTGCAATTTATGGAAGGAAAAGTGCATCTTACAAAAGAATTATTTTCTCTCCAACTACCACATCACTTTGCCTACACAAAATTTCTTCTTTCTTGCCGGACTAAAATTTTTAATATTTCCTGATTTAATCTCATAATTAAACCAAAAAGAAATTAGGTCCTAGTATAAATCTAGGTTTCCAACTATAAAGTAATTCACCAACCATGCCAACTGTTAACAGACACTGTCAAGGGGGGAGGGGGCTAATTACTAATGTAAATAGTTACCGAGTTAGGAGCAGCAATAACTAGAGGGAATGCATTTTGTGGCAAGGCTATCATGACTAGAGCCTAGAGGGCAGGCTTTTCCTGGAGGGGCTTGAGTAAACCCTAGATAGTGACTAGATTGAAAACAAGAAAAAACAGCCTGACTCTGCCTTGGTGCAGTCAGTAGGCCACAGATCTGGCTGTTTTTCGGACTGAATTTGGTGGGGATCAAGTTCAGTTATAAAACTTAAACTTAATTTAAACTAGAAAGGATCAACGTTCATGACGTTTTGGAAATTTGTTCTCTAATTCCTTTGTTTCTTTCTTTCTTTTCTTTGGTTTATTCAAATTAAAACAGACCTAGGCAAACAAGTTTTTACTGGAAAAAGCAGGAGTAATCTTACTCTTATGTCTTCCTTTGTGTGCTGGCTCGGGGTTGAAATCATGTAGATGTACATGTCATTCCACTGCACGTCAGGAATTATTTCCGGTGCAGCCTCCAGCTTTTTTGCGTCGCTCTGATACGGGTCCTGTTTCAGGTCTGCCTCTAATTTTTCTATATATCTCGCTTTAGAAGCACCAATCAAGCCTTCAGCATAGGCAGACAAAAAATACGACATGGTAACAGTGAGGGAAACCAAGTATCGCTCTGTTAAATACCCTCTTTATTCAGACTTTGCATCGTGCGATTCCCGGTACAACATGTACTTGCACTAGTTTGCATTAGCATGCACACTTCAACGAAAGCGCGCCGCCACTTGACCTCGAAGATGGCGACGCCATTGGTCGTTAAATTGGCAGTGACATCAGTGCATAAGGTCTATATGGATATTTTTTCCCACCCAAGTTCTGTTGCCAGGCAACTTGACATGGATTTCTTCACTCTTTAGAANATTAGAATGCCTTGTCTGTCATTTCTGAGCAACTGTTTCACTTTTGTTTGGATTAAACATTTGATATTCCCCTGGAAGCCTACTGATTTTGATTTTCTCTTTAATTTCATCAAGTGGAATGTAATCGAATAGGTTAGGCTTGCAGTTGCACCATTTAGAAGAAAATATCTCTTTTACGAGTATGTGGTTCGGAGAAGAACCGATGGTAAGCACTTGATGTTCAGTATGCTCCCTTCATCTTCAAGAGGGTGACTGGATGGAATGTAATCAATCTGTTTCTTTACTCTGTACAGAGATGGAAGGCCCCAGGTTCCAAGTTGGTAAGCCTTATCTGACATTCCAAATCTTTCCTTGGTAAAGATGATTTTATTAACTTCTTCAACAGATCATTTCTTACATTTCAAATTAAAAGTATTCACCATTCCGACTCTTTGTCTTTAACAGTGAGTGTTTTAGCCTCTAAATGGCAAAACCTGACAAACTGAAGAGCTTGAGAACAATGCTCAGAAAGTTTGGACTAAAATCTGTGTTGGTGAGCACAAGTGAATTTAGAATGTTGTTGTACTTATGAAGGATCTGTTGGGCACTAGCAATTCCTGGCCTTAGTCTTGTTTTTGAACTTGGTAATTAAGAAAGCTTACAACAATCAAATTCACAATGAAGCACTTTCAATTTTCAGTTCCTGTTTTTACACAACCAGTTTTCAAAAGCTACCTGCTGCACCCCTCCTCTCTTGGCTGATTTTAATTTGATGAGGAGACATGTGAGTTTCACTCGAATCTGATGTTCCAAACGCGATATAAATTTTAAGCAAGAAAGACGGTATTGTTCACACAGTATCTTAAATACCTACTATGTTGCTGTCCATTGAATCTGAGTGGATGAGTTTTCTCTATGATTTATCAGAAGTCTGGCATCCACACCACAGGGTTGGTGGGCATTGATGCTGGGCAATCACATTACTTCATGCTTGCATATGTCTGTGTGTGTTGAACTGTACTCTAGTAGCATCCCCGCTTACAAAGCTGATCAGAATGTAGGTTCCAGGTTTTATGAAGCTTTCTTTGCCGTTGCTGTCAAATTCTCAAATTTAACAATGCTTCTGAAGTGAAGCAGTTTGACTCCCTGGAATAATATAGCAGCAACCATCAAATCTCTCCATCCTTTTCTCACCAAATTTCAAAGATAATGTACTGTTCCTTTCAGTGTACTTCTTCTTGGTTGTTACTCCCAAACCAAAGATTGCCTCGTATTCCTGTGGATCTACATCCCTCTTTATTCGGTTCGTAAGTGTGACGTCACTTCAGTTTAAACCATGCCCATTCCACACGTGCACTGCACATAGGGTTACATGCATTGATCACCGTTTACATGGAACCATGGAACTGGAAGTTAACACACAACTTCAGCGATCGTCCAATGGGAGCCTTTGTGACAAAGTCACAAACCAGAGTATCATCACGCGGGGAGTTTCCTTCCTTCTGTGTTTCAAAGAATGTTTGATGCTACTCAGCAAAAGGCCACTAAGTGTTTGACTGTGAGACTCCAAGCTCTGCCCATGTGAGGTTGTTGGAAACCTATCAACAATTTTGCCTTTGGAGATCCACTCGTCACACAACACTTTGAAGGCCCCTCTTTTAGAATTTGAAAGTGAAAAATTTTGTTCATAATGAAGGCTCAGATTTCATGTATAAGAAACCGATCGATCAGGGCAAATTAGACCTAGCCCATGTTAGGCCTATATATCTTGGGCATAGGCTAGGTCTACATGTAATGTACATGTACATGGTGTAGGCCTACATGGGATTGTCATATAAACACGCAACATTGAATCCCTACTGCATTAATTGAACATGCCTAATCTTAAACTGTCTTACTGTGACTCATCGATACGTTGACTGAAAAACGAACATGTAAATACTGTAATATCAATTATCTTACCTTAATGTCAAACAGCTCTCCTTTCAAAGAAGATCTGCAATGTCCCCTTGCAAGATGCCTTCTTGGAATCAGAGTAGTGTTGAGGTTTTTATAAATATTAGGCGGTTTTATGGAACAGTATCACCAGAGAACCCTGTCTTTGAGTGAATCAGACATGACGCGACTCATTCTGTTGGGCATGTTTTCTGACTTTTGAGCTATCTGATCGGCTTAAAGTTTCAATTGATGTGTGGTCATGATAACACCATGATAAACAATGACGCCCCCATGTGGCCAAATCATGTGAAGTAAATGAGACACTGAACTCCATATGTATCCCCTTAATCATTGGAATTCAAGGCTCTGTAAGGTAGTGCTTGGTGTAGTCATTACAACATGATTGTTTCAAGTGATTCTTTAGGCCTGAATCATCCCCAAAACATGTTCATTTGCCTGTCTTTGCCACCTAGTAGGAAAATAATGTCAGTGGCAAAAAAATCCAAAATGGCCGCCAAGATGGCCACCAAGATGGCCGCCCAATGAACCCCATGGGACAATATTTGACGTGGGGAACATCAATATTCATTAACTACACACTCTGACAATTCTAAAAATGTAAGTTAGAAAAATATATTGAGGGAAACATGGGAAGCTTGAATCCTCCCCAACTATATTCCATGTTGTTACTGGCACAAAACAAATTATAGAATCTTCAAAATTGATCAAGATCTTCTGAGTACAATGTGTCAAGCACAATTACTTTCAAACAAATTTAACGTAATTAACTGACTTCCTAATTCCAACAGTTGAAACGAAGCATGTTGATTTGCCTTTCTCTGCTTGGTTTTTCATTCAAGTATCCTTCCTCGCAGTTAAATTATTAATGTCCTGAATGTTACGTCATGGTGCATACTGGAATACTGCAAGCGTTACTATCTTCTTTTGCACTGAAGGTATCACAAAACCGGTTCTAAAGTTACATTAGTCCTAATCTGCTAGACCTTAACTAATGCCGTCTTCCTCTTTATCTACCTATTCATCTTGAAAAAAAAGTCAAATTTAGCATTGTGATTTAGGCATTTCTTTGTTCAGGGCTTTGTTTGCTTGTATTTACTTTGTCTTTAAGATCTTCCAAAATATCTCTTGGTGAGAATCATCATCTTCTGGATGCAGGTAACTTGACAAAAATCCTTGTAGGCCTACTTGTTGAAAATGATTTGCTTGACTACCCAAAGGGTCTTCGTATTGGTGTTTTCCTTGGCCTGATCTTCACCTATACCCTTGTCAATGTACTTTTTCACAATTTCACTCCAAATTTCCCAGTGGCCTCTGCTTAATAGTTTAACCAATCGAAATACGCAACATTATCTTCCAATCTGAAGGAGACCATCTTCATCCAAAGATTTGTTATCCTCTGTCTCCGTTTTGGATCCAAAATCATCTTCTTCATTTTCACCCTGCAGAGATTCAGTTCCAAAAATTTCCACTTCCAATTCTTCAAATCTATGCCTTTTAAAATCTGGTTCAGAACAGCACATGTAAGAGTATTCAAAGTGAATAACTCCACTCATAAATTCATACACACTTTTTAAAAAAAGTTTTAAAATGCCAAAACCAAGCTAAGATATAAACAGTTTCATTCAGCAATCCTGCTTTATATTTGCTATCCATAATCAGGGAAACATCAAAAAAGCAAAATGGCGTATAGTTGACTTCCACAGCACCATTTTATGAGTGCAGCAAGTGTTTCCTGATCAGCATTGATCTAGTCTTTTATAAATGGGCTGCATTCAAAACCCAAAGTGTTACGAAATCATAAATGTATTAGTGCTGCAAGGCACACAGAATTGTGCCTTACAGCTTCTAGAAGGCGTGAAAGCGTAGCTAGACATATGCTTACATGTGTATACTTCATCTATACAAATGTCACATGACCTGTTCCTTAGAAACAGATCAGTACTAGTACGTACATTTATTTGAGTTGTGCACAGATTCTTGCATGTACGCCTCTTAAATGGCGAAAATAGCCACTGGCACGTGATGGTGAATGGGCCACTGACAGTTTGGCTCTCACTTATAGGTAAAAATAGCCTCACAAGGTGATATGACAGAAAACTGGTAAGTTTCATGTATCAATGAGGCAAGTTTTTTTTACCGTGCCACATTTTAAAGCAGTCAACATTTTTGTTAAACACTCATCCCTTTTAATATATCAGAAGAATAGCAGAAGAAAAGTGACAACGTATTTACACTGACTTATAGGTAAATCCACACCTTGTGCAAATTTAGTGAATAGCAACATCTAAAAACACACAGACTGAGTACCTTCCTGTCTGTAAGGCATATGTACCATTGTGCCTGCAAAACGCTAAAATGGATGTTGTTAACTAACTTGGCGTGTACACTCTTTCTTGGAAACTACCATACATGTACATATATTTTAATTTAAAGAATGGCAACCATCACATTTTTCAATAACTGAGCAAGTGCAAAAGTTGCTTGAAAGCTGCATCAGTAACTGCCCAACAACCCCCAAATCAAATCATTATACACATACAAGCAGAGGCAAATGCCTTAGCACTGACCATATTTCCAAACCTTGATGATACCATCATCACCACAAGATGCTAAAAGGCCACTTCCATCTGGATTCCATCTAACTGAGTTAATATCTTCACTATGAGCTGACTTTACACATACCATCAAATTAAACGTGGGCTGATGACTTGACTCAACATCATCTTCTTGAAAGACATGAATTGTGTCATCACCAGAACAGGTAGCCAACAGTCCACTTTGCTTGCACCTGGTAAGTAAGCAAAAACATCTGTGAATATTATCAATGTTAACTGCAGTATTTAAAAAAAATGGCGTCATGTTTGAAAAACAAATTCAATGTGAACATGTATGTGCATTACATGTACATGGTACCTTGTAGGATTTTCAAATCTTCTGATTTCAGTCAACACTACAGAGTGATCTTGGTGAAAATTATTGTTGAGAAAGACCAGTGTTTGTTATGCTCACAAGTTTTACCAATATACCACTTTTTGTTCAAAGAGTTTCATTTTTTATGCAGTTACATCACAATTTAAACAGTACGTATTACACAACAGAGGGCACTATAGGCCCTGGGTGGTAGATAGCACAATATGGATACCTGGGTAAAGTGCTTTGTATGTATGTGTACAGTGTATATGAATGGGCACCCAACATGCACGCATCCCTGTTGTGTACAGGATTATGCACTGACCACTCAGGTTCAAAGATTTCTTTGGTGCTCTTAACTTCCCTCAGAAAAACAAGCAAAAAAGTTAACTGATGTGGTGTAGAATGTGAAATTGTGGACACCTTCAAGTATGCACAGTGCCCTTGGCTTTGTCTTGGCCACTCTGCATCTCAAGGATGTTTAAAACATCATATTCAACGGCTCCACAACTGTTAAGCGTAAATTGACACTGCCTTCAAGATGCATATTTCACTGAATATCTACAGAACTACCAATCAGATGAAATCAAGATATAGCCTGTTTACAGCATCTAATTTCACAGAGCTGCTAAGCACATTGTTTCATGCTCACAGAGACTCCTCATATTTCATGGAGACCTTAAGCAGAAAGCACAGCAAAAGGCACACTTAGGCTGTGTCTGAAACAGGCTTTCAGAGTTATGGCTAGGTCTAATATCTTGGTGTCTCAATGTATTTCCTATGGAGCGAAGTCCTGGACCTAGCTACAGACAACAGATTCGGATGCAGCCTTACCTCAGAGAAACTTTGCTTAGTGATGCAACAATAGAAATCTCTACGCAGGTGCGCAATCGTTAGCACAACCACACCAAGCAATGCCATGAAATAGTGCTTACTGTTTAAACTATTAAGCATTGCATAGAATTAGGCCCACAAGTTCTGTGTGAAAATAATAGATCACTTTCACTTTCAACAAAACTGCTACATGTATGAGCATCTGCATTTTCGACTTCAAATTTCATGACACGCATCGCCTGCTCTACATTTCAATTTTTCAAAGATATGAGGATCAATGCATGGGTGTGTAGAAAACTTGCACACAGCGTGCACCCATACCTGATGACATTGAAGACACAGTTGTACTTTTCCTATTGTGTCCTGTTGGAGAAGTCCTTAACAATAGCATGCTCTTGTGTCAAGTGACATGACATTACACATGCACTATTGACAGACTAATTTCTAAAGCACGACATAACCAATTAGTTTAAACGTCACTGTATCTACAGGAAGGTATGTGTTACTGGTAAAAAATTGACATGTTAAGTCATTTGTGTCTCACATGACACTTAAAGGTGCAATCTTCAAAGACTAATATGTAACCAACAACATATGGCATCAAATGAAATGTTGGTATGTTTTAGGAAAGGTAAGTTATAGTTAATTCATTAACACCTGGGGCATTTTCACTTGACAACATGTCTTGTGACCCTGTGTTAATATTTGATAATACATGTACCTACTGCGATTTGATAATGCTGGCAGCATAAAAAGGGGCCCTGGAACCTGGATAAAAGAACGTTCACTTTCCAGTAGTTTTATACACATCATGTTTTGGCAGTATAAAACAATATTTTTCTATTAAGGAAAAGCAATTTCCTGCAAAAGTGAGTTGGTTTTAAAGTTGAGAAAAATTTGGAAAAAGCTTTAACATTTTTTGAGACCATGTATAAGGGCCATTCCATGAGGTTGGGGCACAATTTGTGATGGTGTCAATTGTTACATCGCCGGTTCCATAAAATGAACAGCTATTTCCCTGCACGTGGATTCCAAACTGACATCGTTATTCATCTTGCAAGGTTGAATACTGAGGTAAGTGTTATTTTTACAGAGTAAATGGCCTACTCTACAGGTCATGACAGGTGGTAAAAGTTGCAGATAACAAGGACATGGTCACAAATTGTGCCTCAATCTCATAGAATGACCCATGACCTAGGTTATGTGTATGTCTTGCTTAGGGACGGTGACCATTTAGATCCGGTATGGAAAGGGCCCAACCCTACTCAGTCCGGTATTAAGCCAGGCTGGTATTCTGCCTGTCCTAGTCCGGTACACAGGCTTGTCCGACCTGTGCCCTTTGAAGTCAGTGAGGCGCATTAGATTATTACCTCTCAGAGAACAGCAGGAGCTGAATAATAGAAGACTTACAGGATTAAAGCCTACCAGTAAGAGTTGGCCGAAGAGTTGATTCCTGCGGCTGGCTCGAGGTGGATTGGATTGTTTCAACTATTAACTCGTTGGCAGTTTGAAGCTTTATAATATTCCATATCTTGATTTTTTTGAAGTAAAGGGTGTTCAGAAAACAGGAAAACAAAGAACGTTTAACTTCCTGTGGCATGCAGTGTCAGCATTTTCATTGAGGTGCGATATGTGTAATGCTTCATGCAATAAGGGCACTCCACCAATGGATCAGGGTTGGTCCAGAATTTTTTTTTAGCTGAACTTTATTGTCGTATGAGTACATTTATGTTCTGACTGCCTGGTGGACCATGGTACGTAAGCGTGCAAGATTAGCTGTTTTTGGGTGTGCCTTTGCCCGAAGGACAAACCTGTTAACGAAAATAAGCACTAACTCTTTTCAACTTCCATTAAACCAAACATGGACAGAATGACTCGAATATATACATGTTAGATTCTATAGTAGGAAAATGTTTATACATACCATATGTTTGATAACTCAAACCTCAGTGGATAAAAATTCAATTTATCCGGATTTTCAGCCAACGAAAGTTTCCGAGTCTTGCTCGCATGTACATAAACAGGAAACACTACTAGCCCCATGGTAGCTACTGGAAATGTTTGAAGTGGTTGTTTCCTTACATCCAACAACAAATTCTTCTAAAAATCATCAGTTCACCGAGATTTAATGTTTCTATTATGTATGTAAAATTTTCTCTTCTACTGAAAAGTATTACAGAAACCAAAAACTGTTTACTTTTTGTGACATTTTTCGCGCACATCATGTAGCAATGCGTACAGTGCATGCTCAATTCACCAGCACCAGTGTCGGGCACGGGGTTTTTCCGTTTGACCACATGATCATTTCTTTTCAATGAAGGTTAGCAAGTTACAACCGATATCCTCTGCTTTTTGACATATGCTCTATCTGGCCATCACAATGAGTCCTAAATCAAACACTACAGTAGTTTGTACTGCCCAAAAACCAGTATACAATGGATTTATTGAAAATCAACATGAGAGAAATAAGAGGCGATTTCTTTCTACAACAAACTGGGCCAATGATTACATTGGGTCGATGACGTCATTGGGGGAAAAGCACAGCACGGCATGCGTAAAGCATGCATGAAGATACATTGTACATGTAAGCTGGCATCGATGTGGCCCGGAATGCATAAAAATGAGTTTTGATGACGCGTAGAAAATGAAAAACGTTATACAAGTGCATTGATCTCTAAAATGTATAAACCTAAAATCTTACTCTTAGCAGGTCAAAATAATTGTGAGATTTGTTCCAAAATGATGATGATTATTATTTTTTATTTGACCATCAAAAGAACTGACAAAGCAACATTAAACAAAAGTACATAAAAAACAACAAAAACACACATAAAAGAAAATATAAGCAGTAGCAGGGACCAGATACGAAAAACCGAATACATAACAAGACAACAGTTATATTGGTCAGGGACTGCAAAAGTAAAATAAACTACTATTACCCAAGGGGCATGCAGCCCCACACATAACTGTTGCAGTGACCTGGACAGGACAGTAACTTTGAAGTACGCCCTCTATATTTGGACAATTGACACCGCACATGTTCAGTGCAGCCATCTTTGCTTGTTTTTACAGTTTCAGGTTTCCATTCAATAAAACTCAGTTTTTACAGCTTTCCTGTTCGAGCACACACAAGTTACAGTAATGACAGAAGAGTCTTGCCAAAGAAGTAAGTGATCATTTTATCAACATTCTCAGTGAGAGCGAAGTTATTTTCATGTTGTTAAAACCAATGTGCTTTGACACATGTTTTTTATGCTACAATGTACATGTACATTTGGTAAGTTTGCCTTGTATTTTTATAAAGCACATACAGTAGTCAAAGCCTAAACTTAGATGCAACAGACAAATTGATTTAGCAGTTTCTTGAGTAATATGACACCAAGATAAGTTCTGAGAGCAGAGATTTATTCCTCGTTGGAACAGTTTCAATATCTGAAGTATTAGAGGATGGAACATCCAATCCCATACTTGTTCCTGATGACAACCCAACCAGCGGAGAGACAGAACCAGATGTTCCAGCCCCTCCTGATGTTCCAGCCCCTCGGATGGAGAAGCCAAAGATGCCCAAATTTGCTGGAGATGTTTTGGAATTCTTTATATTCCGAGCCGATTTTAGGCATATGATAGATGCCAGCTATACCAAGAGGGACGCCATTACCCTTACGCACATGTCTCCAGGGAAACCGCTCGAGCTCATTAAGGGCATTGGTTCAGATTATGATACGGCCTGGGAGTATCTTGACTCCATCCAAGGTGACCCATGACTGATTGCCGATACAGTCACTCGAGACATAATGAAGTTTAAGCCCTTGTGAGATGGGGAAGATTCATGATTCTGTGAGCTCGTCCATCTGGTTCGTAGAAGTTACAACACTCTGACGGAAGTGGGTCAACCCAATGATATGGATAATAATCACATGCTAGCCGTCATTGAACAGAAAATGAATTCAGATGACAGGAAGGTCTGGGCTAGATATCTAGAAGCAGAAAATAACAGGCAACACTGCATGACATACTCTGCTGAATGGCATCTGAAATGAAATC